ACAAAATTTGAAAATCTAAATGAAATGGACATTTTTCTTGATCGATTTGACTTACCAAAGCTGAATCAGGACCAGGTAAATCAATTAAATAGTCCTATATCCCCCAAAGAAATAGAAGCAGTCATCAAAAGTCTCCCATCCAAAAAAAGCCCAGGACCAGATGGCTTCAGCGCAGAATTCTACCAGACCTTCAAAGAAGAGCTAACTCCAATTCTCTTCAAACTATTCCACAAAATAGAAACAGAAGGAACATTACCAAATTCGTTCTATGAAGCCACAATCACCCTGGTACCTAATCCTCGCAAAGACTCAACAAAGAAAGAGAATTTCAGGCCAATCTCCCTTATGAACATTGATGCAAAAATACTTAACAAAATACTTGCAAACCGAATCCAAGAACACATCAAAGATATTATCCACTATGACCAAGTAGGCTTCATCCCAGGTATGCAGGGGTGGTTCAATATACGGAAATCCATCAATGTGATCCACCATATTAACAAACTGAAATAAAAAAACCACATGATAATCTCCCTAGATGCTGAAAAAGCATTTGACAAAATCCAACATCCATTCATGTTTAAAGTATTGGAGAGATCAGGGATACAAGGCAAATACCTAAACATACTAAAGGTGATATACAGCAAGCCTATAGCCAACATCAAACTGAATGGAGAGAAACTTAAAGCAATCCCACTGAAATCAGGGACAAGACAAGGCTGCCCACTCTCTCCATATCTCTTCAACATAGTGCTGGAAGACCTTGCTAGAGCAATAAGACAGTTGAAGGAGATCAAGGGGATAGAGATGGGAAAGGAAGAAGTCAAATTATCACTATTTGCAGAAGATATGATAGTATACATGAGTGACCCCAAAAACTCTACCAGGGAACTCCTACAGCTGATAAACACCTTCAGCAAAGTGGCCGGATACAAAATTAACTCAAAAAAATCAGTAGCCCTCCTGTATACAAAAGACAAAAGGGCTGAGAAAGAAATTAGAGAAACATCACCATTCACAATAGCCACAAAAGTCATAAAGTACCTTGGTGTAACCCTAACCAAGCAAGTCAAAGACTTGTATGAAAAAAATTTCAAGTCTCTGAAGAAAGAATTAGAGGAAGATATGAGAAGATGGAAAGATCTCCCATGCTCATGGCTTGGCAGGATTAACATAGTAAAAATGGCCATCTTACCAAAAGCAATCTACAGATTTAATGCAATTTAATGGAAATTGCCAACACAATTCTTTACAGACCTGGAAAGAAAAATTCTCAACTTTGTATGGAATAACAAGAAACGGAGAGTTGCTAAAACAATCCTCTACAGTAAAAGATCTTCTGGAGGTATCTCCATCCCTGATCTCAAGCTGTACTATAGAGCAACAGTTATAAAAACTGCATGGTACTGGCATAGAAACAGAATGGTGGATCAATGAAATCGAACAGAAGACCCAGAAATAAACCCACACACTTAAGGACACCTGATTTTTGATAAAGGTGCCAAAACCATACAATGGAAAAAAGATAGCATCTTCAACAAATGGTGCTGGTCCAACTGGATGTCTACATGTAGAAAAATGAAAATAGATCCATACTTATCACCCTGCACAAAACTGAAGTCCAAGTGGATCAAAGACCTCAACATAAAACCAGACACATTAAATCGGCTAGAAAAAAAGTGGGGAATACCCTAGAACTCATTGGTACAGGAGAAAACTTCCTGAACAGAACACCAACAGCACAGGCTCTAAGAGCAACAATCAATAAATGGGACCTCATGAAATTGAAAAGCTTCTGTAAAGCAAAGGACACCATCATCAAAACAAAGCGACTGCCTACAGATTGAGAAAGAATCATCACCAGCCCTTTATCTGACAGAGGACTCATATCCAATATATATAAAGAACTAAACAAGCTGAAAAGCAGTAAACCAAGTAATCCACTTAAAAAATGGGGAACAGAGCTAAAGAGAGAATTCTCTGTAGGAGGAATATCGAATGGCAGAAAAGCACTTAAAGAAATGCTCAACCTCATTAGTCATTAGGGAAATGCAAATCCAAAGAGATTTCACCTTACACCTATCAGAATGGCCAAGATGAAAAACCCAAGGGACAACACATGCTGGAGAGGTTGTGGAGAAAGGGGAACCCTTCTCCACTGCTGGTGGGAATGTAAACTGGTACAACTACTCTGGAAATCAATCTGGCGCTTTCTCAGACAACTAGGAATAGCGCTTCCTCAAGATCCAGCCATACCACTCCTAGGCATATACCCAAAAGAGGCGCAAGTACAGAAAAAGGACATTTGCTCAACCATGTTTATAGCAGCTTTATTTGTAATAGCCAGAAGCTGGAAACAATCCAGATGCCCCTCAACTGAAGAATGGATGCAGAAACTGTGGTACATCTATACAATGGAGTATTACTCAGCAATGAAAAATAAGGAAATCATGAAATTGGCAGGTAAATGGTGGGACCTGGAAAGGTTCATCCTGAGTGAGTTGTCCCAGAAGCAAAAAGACACGCATGGTATATACTCATTCATATAAACATACAACATAGAATAAACCCACTAAAATCTGTACATCTAAACAAACTAAGCAAAAGAGAGGACCCTAACTAAAATGTTCAATCCCCATCCTGAAAGGCAAAGAGGATGGACATCAGAAGAAAAAGAAAATAGTAAACAACCTCAAAACCTGCTACAGAGGGCCTCTGAAAGCCAGAAGAAAACAGGAAACAACCTTGAAACCTGCCACAGAGGGCCTCTGAAAGCTTCTGCAGTATAGACTGTCAAATCAGATGCTGAGCCTGAGGGCCAACTGATGGGCAGAGTGAATGGAATTTTATGTAAGAAGTGGGAAATAGTAAGAGCTGGAGGGGACGGGAACTCCACAAGGAGAGCAACAGAACAAGATAATTTGAACACAGGGAACTTCCCAGAAAATCATACTCCAACCAAGGACTATTTGTGGAGATGACCTGGAACCCCTGCACAGGTGTAGCCCATGGCAGTTCAGTGTCCAAGTGGGTTAGATAGTAATGGGAAGAGGGACTGCCTCTGACATAATCTGATTGGCCTGCTCGTTGATCACTTCCCCCTGAGGAGGGAGCAGCCTTACCAGGCCACAGTAGAGGACAATGCAGCCACTTTTGATGAGAACTGATAGACTAAGATCAGAAAGAAGAGGAGGACCTCCCCTATCAGTGGACCTGGGGAGTGGCATGCATGCAGAAAGGGGAGGGAGAGTGGGACCGGGAGGGGAGGAGGGAGGGGCTTATAGGGGGATACAAAATGAATAAAGTGTAATTAATAAAAAAAATGCTTATTTATAAGTTGGCTGCATAGAAACAGATCTCAACAGTCTTCCCCTAACAGATGCTCTAAATCTCCTACATTACAACTGAGTAGCTGTGGGGGTATTCTCCTCATACCAAAACATACCCAGAAGATATCATCATCCCTGGCCCTACTTTTTCTTATTTTCTTTCTTTCTTATTTTCTTTCTTTCTTATTTTCTTTCTTATTTTCTTTCTTTCTTTCTTTCTTTCTTTCTTTCTTTCTTTCTTTCTTTCTTTCTTTCTTTCTTTTTTTGAGATAAACACAACATGCATTTAGATGATTTGGAAGATCTCATTCTGTTCTAACTTATAAGCTCTGATAGGGCAAATGCCATTCATCTTTTATCTCTCTTTACATTTGGCACAGGAGAGAAGTAAAATAAATATGGATCAGAATAGAGCAGAAAAAAATGTATAATTATTTTAATATCCCCAATATGGAAAAAAAATCAAGGAAATTGAGAATTTTATGAGATCTTCGGCATAATCTAGCACTCTCACCTTAGATACTAGATCATCAAGTTCAAAGGGTTTTGTTATATTTTAAAGGTCTCAGAAAAAAAAGAAACATTATAAGAAGGAAAGCCTCCTGATTCTGCCACAGTGCTTTTGAGTTTTAAATATGCTGTCTACTTTTCACCTACATATTATTATGTGTTTTGTTGATATATTAGATAAGTCAGTTTTCTAGTGATAATTATATAAACCATGTAAAAAAAACTATCGCTAGAAAAGTTTCTAAAAAGCAATCAAATCTTTTGTTTTTCATGACAGCACTTCTTTGTGTAATCATGGCTGTCCTAGAACTCACTCTGTAGACCAGGTTGGGCTAGAACTCAGATATCTGCCTGCCTCCTCTACCCTACCCAGTACTATGATTAAAGGCATGTGCCACCACAACCAGCTGCAGTCAGTTTTTTTTTCTTTCATTTTTGAAATTTTTCAGTGTAAAGAAGAAGATATAGAGGCGTTATCAAATGAGATTGTATAACATTATACAATATAATATGTACTTATTGTCAACAAGGTTTGGGGTGGTACAGGCCTACCATCCGAGTTACTTGGGAGGTTGAGGCAGGAGAACAGCAAGTTCCAGGCCAGCTTGGGTAACTTGAGATTTTGCCTCAAAATAAAAAGGTCAGGCCGGGAACCTGATAATAAACCTCATAATAAATAACCTTGTAATAAAGTGCTTGCCTAGGAAATATGGATTGCAAAGAAACAAGACTCATTGTCCTTTCTCAGAAGACCTGAAGGAAAACACTGCAAAGATATTTACATTCATCCTTCATACTCATTCAAAATTGAGTGCACATTCAGCAACAAATCATATTATATCTTACCCAAGTGTAAAGCATGATCAATTTTGGGTAAGCAGTACTGTTTATACAAGAAATGTAGCTTTTCTTGAATTCTTGATTTTTGTTTAGTTCTTCCATGTGTATTGCAGACTCTGTCAATACCATGGAACTGGTTCATCATTAGCACCACTGTATTCAGATACATTGATTCTCACTGTTAAAAATCTACAAGCATTATAGGCATTGAAAGTTATTGTTGATATTTAGGGTCAACATGCCACTGTTTCTTGGTGTGTGGAAGATTACATCCTCAGAAAAGCTGGAGCAGGTTTGTAACTGATGTTTTCTCTTCGACAGGTGAATAAGATTTGTGGCCATCCAGTGAGAACAACAACACAGAGCCCCCGCTGTACTTTTGATCCAAGCAAGGAGAAGCATGGAATGAAGATCTCTGCAAGGAATGGTGAAGAGACACTTGCCAACAGAAGAAAGTAAGACATTTGTTTTACAACCAGAAAGAGAAAGAAAGTAAGCCATTAATTCTACAAGAGACTAGAATGCATTCATCAAATAGGCCTGACTGTAGTATGGAAGAAAAACAATCAAATGGCATTTTTACTCTATTTAAAATACTGTAGCTCATGGGCTGAGGAGACGGTTCAAGGTTTAGAGTGCCTGCTGCTCTTGCAGAGGACCTGGGTTTGGTTCCCTTCCCAGCACCCACACCAGGAGGATTGCAATCAATTGTAACTGCAGTTTCAGGACGTCTGAAACTCCACCTGGCCTTTGTGGACTCCTGTGCATACATGGTACATATACAGACAAACAATCACATACACATACATAAAAACAGGTACAATTTTTAAGATTAAAAATCTTAAAATTCAGGGACTCAACCTTTCCCATTAGTTTGGGGGATAGATTCAGACTGTGAGACTAGTACTTTTTTGTGTGATTTTAGGGATTATTCTTTATTATATTAAAGCAGATCAAGGAACATGTGACCATTGTATATTTAAGCTGAGGACTCAATGTGTTATTTTAAATTATTTTAGTTAACTGTAATCTGATTTCTACATAAAGCTAGCAATGACTGGCTTGAACCATATAAGAAAGTGCTGTTATACCATGTGATTTATACTTCTGAAGATTTAGCGTTCTTGAAATACAGTAGTAAAACATGAAACTTCCCTTACATTTTACCTGTGATTGTAAAAATGGCCACTTATTGATACTAACTGTAAACGTTTAGCAGACTGTAACTATGCCCATCACTATTTCACTAGGTATATTAAAACCTCTAGAATCCCATTAGTTGATAATTGACATTTAATATGAAATTATTCAAACTAGAGGAAAACCTGAATCTTATGAAAGAAGGGGGACATAGAAAGACCTGGAAGAGATAAGAGCTCCACAAAGAGAGCAACAGAACCAAAATATCTTGGCCCAGGGGTCTTTTCTGAGACTGATACTCAAACCAAGGACCATGCATGGAAATAACCTAGAACCCCTGCTCAGATGTAGCCCATGGCAGCTCAGTGTCCAAGTGGGTTTCCTAGTAAGGGGATCAGGGACTGTCTCTGACATGAACTCAGTGGCTGGCTCTTTGATCACCTCCCCCTGAGCGGGGACCAGCCTTACCAGGCCACAGCCAAGGACAATTCAGCCAGTGTTGATGAGACCTGTTAAGCTAGGGTCATAGAGACGGGGAGGAGGACCTCCCCTAGCAGTTGACTTGGGGAGGGGCAGGGAGGAGAAGAGGGAGGGAGGGTGGAATTAGGAGGGGACAAGGGAGGGGGATAAAACTGGGTACAAAATGAACAATTTGTAATAAATAAAGAAGCAAAAACAAAAAGATATTTAGTTAACTGTATACCTCTTAGAAAATAATGGTTTCTCTGTCACTGCCCTCTAAATTAAACCTAAATTCAGAGTGTAATGTATTTATTCATTCAGTTATTTGAAAATCTTTTAAATTATCTATATCTTGATATATCATCCAGTTTCTTGGTTTTTTTAAGGTTTTTATTATTATAATTATTATTTTAGTTTTTTTTTATAATTTATTTGCTTTATATCCCAATTGTAGCCCCCTTCCTCAACCTCTTCCCGGTCCAACCTACCCTCTCTCCCCCCCATCCCTTTTTCTTAGTACTTAATTATTTTTATTCTTCTCCTCTTCATTACATCCTGACCATATGCCCCTCCCACCACTCATCACAGTCCCTCACTTCCACCTTTCCTTTCACCATGATCCATCCACCTGCCTTCCCAGGTTTAGCAACTGAACATGACGTATCTCTGCATAAACTCTTGGATCAAGGCTTGATGAGGCAAACAGGATGAGGAAAAGTGTTCCTTAAGTACAGACAAAAGAGTCAAAGACTCACACACTACACTGTTAGAAACCCCATAAGAAGACCACACTACACAACCATAACATATATGCAGAGGGCCTAGGTCAGACTTGTGCATGCTCCCTGATTTGTTCAGTCTCTGTGTGCCCCTCTGAGTCCAGCTTAGTTGATTCTGTGGGTCGTCTTGTGTCCCTGACCCCTCAGGCTCCTACTATCCTTCCTCTCCTCCTGTAGGATTCTGCAAGTTCCTCCTGATGTTTGGCCTGGTCTCTGCATCTGTTTCCACCAGTTGCTAGGTGAAGCCTCCCTGAAGACAATTGGTCTAGGCACTCATTGATGAGTATAGCAGAATATCATTAGGAATCACTTCATTGATATTTTTCCCCCTGCCAGTCATGTTTGCTTCAATCTTGCATCTCTGGGCTGTCCTGCCTCTGTTTCCTGGCCCATCTCGATGGCCATTCCCACAACTTCTATGCCACTGTTACCCCAGCATAGCTTTCTAGCAAGGCAAATTATAAGTCAAAGTTTTTGTGGCTGGGTCGATGTCCCAGCCCCATTGCTGGAAACCTTGTCTGGGTGTAAATGATGACTGATTTGGGCTCCATATCCCCATTACTAAGGAGACTTCTCTAGAGTGACTCTGAAAGGTTCGGGAGAGTTTCCACTGCATGGGGTCTCTACATCAACCCCTAAATGCCTCCTAATTCCAGTCCTCTGTCCTAGTACTTTCTCCCTCCCAAACCAGAATGGGAACTCCTGTTCCCATTCCCTTGACCCAACTCCCAATCCACCCACAAAAATCTATTCTATTTCCTCTTTCCAGGGAGCTCAGTCCATCCCCCTTGAACCCGTCATGTGCTTAGACTCTCTGGGTCTATGTATTATATCATGATTATCCTTTATTTAGCAGCTAATGTACACTTATAAGTGAATACATGTCATGTTTGTCTTTCTGTGTCTGGGTTACCTCACTAAAGATGATCTGTTTTAGTTCCATTCATGTGCCTGCAAATTTTATGATGCCATTCTTTTTAAGTGCTGAGTAATACTCCATTGTGTAAATGTACCACATTTTCTTTATCCATTTTTCAGCGGAGGGGCATCTAGGTTGTTTCTAGCTTCTGGATATTATAAATGAAGCTTCTATGATGATAGCTGAGCCAGTATCCCTGTGGTAGGATGGGTATATGTGCAAGAGTGGTATAGCTAGGTCTTGAGGAAGATCAATTCCCAGTTTTCAGAGGCAGCATCATATTGATTTCCATAGTAGCTGTCCAAGTTTTCACTCCAACCAGCAGTGGAGGAGTATTTCCCTTGCTCCACATTCTCACCAGCATGAGCTTTCCTATCTTTTGATTGTAGCCAATATTACAGGAGTAAGAAGGAATCTTAAAGTCATTTTGAGTTGCATCTCCCTGATGGTTAAGGATGTTGACCATTCCTTTAAGTTTTTCTCAGACATTTGAGATTCCTCTGCTTAGAATTCTGTTTAGACCTGTAATTCATTTTGAAATAGAATTATTTGGTTTGTTAATGTCTTTATAGATTTTGATTATTAGCCCTCTGTCAGATATGGGGTTGGTGAAGATCTTTTCCCAGTGTGTAGGCTGCCATTTGTTCAATGATGGTGTCCTTTGCCTACAGAAGCTGGTATCACAAGGTCCAATTTATTGATTGTAGATATTAGTGCTTATGCTATTGGTGTTCTGTTCAGGAAATTGTTGTCTCCTGTGCCAAGGAGTTCAAGGATATTCCACACTGTCTCTTCTATTAGGTTCACAGTATCTGGTTTTCTGTTGAGATCTTTGATCTACTTGGACTTGAGTTTGTGTAGGTGGTTAGATCTATATCTATTTGCATTCCTCATCACCCACATTCTTTGCTTCTGGTCACAGCATACCTAATTGCCTCATTTCTTTCATGTGGACTATACATCTAGAATTAATATTTAGTCTGCTGCTGGGTATCTGCTGTAGCTAATATGAACTGGTATTTTGTGCATAAAATTTGTTTTTTCCTCCCAAAACATCTTTAATGAATGAATAACAGTCACTCTCTTGCATTGTAAAAATCAATGTATTTTACCATCAGAGAGTCTTACAATAAATCCCAGCTTAAACCTTAAGCATTAAAAGGCAAGAATATTTTACCACCCATACTACCTAGTGCAAACTTTAAGACAAACAAATCCTTAATATGTTTTGCTAGTGAAACTAAGCTGATTCAGGTGAAAGGTTATAGAATAGCTCTTGCATAGACCTTTTTGTTATGAACCTTGTAGATTCATTGTCCTGTTTCCAACCAGCCATCCACTATAATAGCTTATATAAATTATATATGTCTATATTAATTTTTGATATTATATGTAATTACACATATAACAATTATGACTATGTTATATCTCCATTATATATATCAATATATCATAATTGTGAATATATTAATTATATATTTATAATTATATAAATTAAGACAGATACATGACAGTCTCACACTACCCACTGGGAACACCCAAGAGGTCTGTACTCAAGTTCATTTAAATATTTCAATTGTTTACTATTTTTTTTTCTGTTTCTGTCTAGGGCTTAATTGCCATAGTAATTGATTTCTGCATATTGCCTATGTATTCTGAAGTTCCATTCATAAACTAGCTCTGAATTTTACTGCTTATTAATTGGTTAGTCTCCAAAATGTCATTGATTTCAGTTGAAATAGGTAAGCCTGTGTAGCCAGGTAAGTATTAATCTGGCCACCTGTGAGTGTGTCTTCTATGTGCTGTGTCTCTACTGTCTTGAGTTTACATTATAACACCTCCCTTCCAGAGAAGGATACATTGCTTCCATAAAATGCATCTGGAGACAAATCAAGTACTTTCTTTAATGTTTTTAATTTCCAAATAATTTTTTTTTACTTTTTTGTGACTATACAGTAAGTATATTTTTAAGTCTTTATTAATTACACTTTATATACTTCGTATCCCCCCACGGTTCCCTCCCTCCTCCCATCCCAATACCTCTCTTCCTCCCCCATCTGCACACATGCCCCTTCCCAAGTCCACTGATAGGGGAGGTCTTCTTTTTCTTCCTTCTGATCCTAGTCAATTAGGTCTCATCAGGAGTGGTTGCATT